GTGGGAGAACTTCTGTGCTGAAGACACCCTTATGGGGTAAGACTTGCTTCAGTGGGGCTTTGGTGCTCACTGAGTCTGCCCCCTGAGTGTGTCCCTTATAGATCTGAGGAGTTGTAATTGGATGGTCCCACTCTGACCACTGGGTACACTGGCTCTTGGATCTAAGGAGGTGCTAATCTATGCTTTTCTCTTTCCTTATAGTTGTAGAAATTCCACTCAGCCAGCCTTCCTGTGGTTCTGGATGATGTCCATTATATCTTTTAGTTGTATTTTTGAAGTGGTTGTGCTAAGCAGCAATCTCCGGTGTTTACCTATGCCGCCATCTTGGTTTTCTCAAGCTTCTACATTTTTATTGAAGAAATCTGTTAGGCCACGAATTTATTCTTCATCTTCATCAGACAGGAACCCATGAGAAGAAATCTGTACCCCGAACCCCATGTTTCACTAGTGTCAGCACAAGCTGATGAGGAAGTGAGGCCTGGAACTAGAGGAGGAGGAAATGAGAGAAAGGGGAAGTTTGGGGGGGCAGCCTCCCAGGAGGCTGTGGGAGAGGAGAGCCATCAGAGACACAGCCAGCTTGTCTGTCTCCACCAGCATCTGCTGAGCCATGAACCAAGCCCGGGATTTACAGGGTAGGCAGGTGGGATAGGCAGAAGCCTCAAAAGTGAGCAGGAGCGCCCTGCTGGCGTGGCTCAGTGGCTGAGCGTCGACCTATGAACCAGGAGGTCACGGTTCGATTCCAGTCAGGGCACATGCCTGGGTTGCGGGCTTGATCCTCATCAGTGGTTGAGCATCCACCAAGAACCAGAAGGTCACAGTTCAATTCCCGATCAGGACACATGCCCTGGTTGTGGGCTCGATCCCCAGTGTGGAGCGAGGAGGCAGCCAATCAATGATTCTCTCTCATCATTGATGTTTCTATCTCTCCCTCTCCTTTCCCCTCTGAAATCAATTTTTTAAAAAAATATTTTTTTAACGTGAGCAAGAGTGACAGACGTGGGCCCAGGGGCCAGCAGGGCAGTTACTGGCCTACGACGGCATAACTGCGATGCCTGGGGCTGGTGGGCCGTGGCGGGGGTACATTAACTTCTGTGCCCCCTCAGGAGGAAAGGCCTTTGGGCTGCTGAAGGCCCAGCAGGAAGAGAGACTGGATGAAATCAATAAGGTAAAAGGGGGAACTAAGGGGGAAGGGCTGGGGCTGGGCTGGGGGAAGGGCCCGGACAGAGGGCCTACCCTGGCTCTGGCTTTTCCCACAGGAATTCCTGGATGACCCCAAATACAACAGTGATGAGGATCTGCTCTCCAAATTGGAAGCTTTCAAGAGTGAGGGGAAAACTGTAGGGGTGGGTGGGAGGCGAGGGGGCAGGAGTTCCCCAGAAACTGAGGCGGGAGAGCAGACACAGTACTGTGTGGTTGGAAGAAGGAAGACTGCCTCCATTGCCCCTTCCCTGGTCGCATCCCTTCCCTGGTCAGCCCCTCGCAGCAGCCCCTCTCAGTTCAGGATGCCTTAACAGGGCACTTCAACCCAACCCCTGCTTCCTCTGCCTGCCCCCCCTTCTCCCACGCCTCCCCTACCTAGCACTCGTAGCAACCCGCTTCTCAGTGCTCTGCCCTGTCCCTGCCCTTCCAGCCAGAGCTTACGTCTGCTTTCTCCCCTCACCCAGAGAAATACATGGAGTTTGACCTGAATGGAAACGGAGATATCGGTGAGAAAAGGGGGTTGGGGGGTGTGCAGACCCGGGGAGAGGTCTCTCCTACTGTGCTCCATCAGATGGGGGTAAGATGGTTTGGGAAAGAGTCCAGCTACCAGGATTGGAGGAAGGGACTGGGAATGTGGCGGCACAGGAGAGAGAGAGAGAAATCCCCTCTTCTCACCCCCATCCTTTATCTCCAGATATCATGTCCCTGAAGCGAATGTTGGAGAAACTTGGGGTACCCAAGACTCACCTGGAGCTAAAGAAATTGATCAGGGAGGTTTCCAAGAGCTCTGGGGAGACTTTCAACTACTCCGACTTCCTCAGGATGATGTTGGGCAAGAGATCTGCCATCCTCAAAATGTGAGGGACTGCAGGGGGGGGCCAGAGCCAGGGTGGCCCTCGGTCCAGTTCCAGCCGCCCCTGTCCTGACGGGTTTCCTCCCCACCCTGCTCCAGTCCCTAGGCTCCCCTTACACACACTCAGCACCCACTCCTTCTGTCCTTTGAGGAACAGACCTTATCCCCATCCATGGTTCTGGTCCCACAGCCCCCAGCACTCCCACCCCGTCCTTCTTCCTCCTCCCACCTCGAAACCCTCATCTTCTTCTGGACTTTCATAGCCGCCTCAGATTTATTCTCTTGAGAGGATTGTTTCCTGACCCCTATGTCTCTTCCCATCTCAACCAGGATCCTGATGTACGAAGAGAAAGCAAGGGAGCAGGAGAAGCCAACATGTCCTCCAGCCAAGAAAGCTATCTCTGAGTTGCCCTGATTTGTGGTGGGATAAAAGGGGCTTCTAATGACTCCAACACAAAAAAAGAAGACAAAATTGTGAGCCAGAGTCGAACTAAAATAAATTCTCCTCCTTCTCTAGATGAAGTCATATGGTCTCTGTTTGGGGATTTTTCCCGGGATTGGAAAGAAGTGAAGCATCTTTGAGGGATGGGCAGCAAGGATTTGCTGAAATGAGCAATGTAACTACTACAGCAGATAGTTTTTTGTTTTGTTTTGTTTTAATCCTCACCAAAGGATATGTTTATTGATTTTTAATTATTTTTTAGAGAGAGACAGAAACATCGATGTGAGAAAGAAACATCAATCAATTGCCTCTCCTATGCACCCCGACAGGGATTGAACCTGAAACCTTTTAGTGCATGGGATGACACTCAACCGGCCAGGGCTACAGCAAATGGTTGTGTATGCAAGGGAGATTCCAGATGTATAAGATAGCCTTGACCTCAAGGAAGTTAGGGGGTATGAAAAGACAGGTACAGACAAGGAAGGAAGGAGGGAAGGAAGGAAGGAAGGAAGGAAGG